CAGGCTGTGAAATTATTTGAAAAATGCACAACCCTGCATTGGACATCAGCAAATCACTGCCAAGAAACTCAAGTGTATTTCAGCTCACGACTCAAAATGGATAACCCACGCAAATACCTCACATCCAACTGCCAATAGCGCTTGCATTAATTCAGCCATGCCGCAGTTGGATTGCCACTAGAGAGATAATGGGCTGTCTGGTGAAACCCTTCAATAGAAAAAAGGGTCATCTTAGCTGCTTCCGACATCTACATCTTAACATGGATGAGCCCCCGCCCACTCCTCCCAAGCAGTATGGTTCAATTCACCCCGCTTCAGAAGTTATCCTAATTCAAGATGAGGTTGATTTATTACAGAGCCTGCAATAATGATTCCTACTTTCTACGCAATCCAGTGCCTGCCCAGATGTATGCCTCTGTGTATGTCACGTTAGACATAGACGAGGTCAAAATGCGAGTCTTCTAAATGCACGAAGATTCCATTTCTATTATAGCTAGAAATGGTAGATCGATATATATATATATTTATCTAAGTATACTTCAACGGAAATATAAAGAAGCAAATCAGTTGATAGTGTAAAGTCAAAGTAATATCTATACAAGAGAAACGGTAGATAGAGAGTGTGGTGCTTTAGCGTTTCTCTGGTATAACACCTGCTATCAACACTAGGCAGTTTTTAGAACCCCTGGTTACCTGGGTTAATTTCAGAAACTCCTAGTAATGATTGAAGCTCTTCGATAGTGCGACGCAGACCATTATCACCTAATTAGCGCCCAGTAAATGTTTAGCATTTAAGTAACCTTGACGGCACGTGATTCTTGTAGGTGTAAGTCCAGATTAGTCGTAACACTCCCGAGATCCATTGTTTCCACAGGCACGGTTTTATTTCCACTCTCCTGTCACTCGGCCCCATCTTCACGACCTATGACTGTTCATCATGGCTTGTAACCCAACGCCCATATTGCACCGCCCAATTGATCATGGGATCCTCCAAGAAATATACTCTGCAGATCAAGAGATATACCCAGCGCCATTGCCGTTCGAGCGATTGAAGAGCTGGGTGTCAAAGAACCCAGAGCTGTCATTATATTTCTATACGAATACCGATGGCAACAACGCTTCGACAAGCGTAGGTGCCATCATCGTATTGCCCATTCTAGAACGACACTGGGAGGAGCTCTTGACAGGAAGACTAAAGGAATTCAACATTGATTCATCGACCATGTTCCCGCTCCAGGAACCCGGAAAGACCCAAGCTGTAGGACTACACATCTTTCACATAGAGAAATTCTCGGGTGCTATGTCGTTCAGCGGAAGAAGGCGCTTCTCAGAATTTGCTTTGAGTACGATTCAAGAAATCGCAAGTGCAAACCAATGGAACATACTTGGATACTCAGGTTTGAAACCTTCGGCCTTGGCATTACTCGCACTGATTTATCTGACAGCATTGACGGCGACGGCCGCAGGAAGGAGAACTTTTGAAAGGATGGGATTTTTATCAACGGGCTATGAAGAACTTTTCATTCAGACAGGGTTGGACGGGTCAAGTCATGAGATGATGTGTATATACCCCCAAGCAAGTGAATCCCAAAATCTCCCGACTAGGGGGCCGGTGCTGAGTAGATCACAAATGACTGTAAAATACGGAGATCTTAGTTTCTAAAAGCAGTACGGGGGTGTATAACAAATGCACAATGCTTCATAGCATTTGCATACAGCGCAGAGCTTCGTTACGAATTGTGTACTCAATGACATTATTCTACTATCAAGGGTGGTTTTTACCGTCATCTTTTCCCATTCAGTACTACTAATCAATTGACGTCACAATCATGACTTCCGCCAAAGTAGTAAAATAAGGACAAAGAAGCTATTGTAAAGTAACGCTGGTAAACCACAACGCTATTGTTGTATAATGCAACGTCTTTGTTTCATGCCAAAATGAAAGAAGACACAATGCTGTATGATCGAGATACTCCATGTTCAATCATCTTTGTTCCCAACATAGTTACATTAAACCTCTCCTCGACCAAGTCCAAACCTGCTGATTTAAAAAGCCCATGACTTGACAGCCATATACCGTATGCTGACATTCTACAGCATTTCTGCCACCTCTCATCTCCCATATTGGTAATTAACCTGGAGAGCTTGGCCATTTGTTTGGGCGCAACTGTACGGCTTGCATTTTGTACCTTATTATGTGTGTTGTCAAAGACTTTTTATACGACTGTGGTCACCTTCGCATTGGAGCCATCAAAATTCGTTGCCCGTACACTACCGATAAGTTTCTCGGATTACATCGGCCGACATCGACTTGCCCAAACCTGTCCTCGATTCAAGAATACATTGAGGGCGAGAACTGCCATCACTGCGAAAGGCGTTACGAGTTGGAACGAGAGCGACTCGAGCGCCACCGTCGACAACTTGACAACTTGTGTCAACAGAACAAGATGAATCGCGAAAGATTGGACAGAAAATGGCAGGTGTTTGCCCAAGGAGAAGTGGACACGCAAGGCGAACAAGGTGCCATGTCAGCCACAGCCATGGATGCTGCTATGATATTCGCAACCGATATCCAAAGTGAGTATCCTGATGGTCCAAGTCTATCCGCTTCGGCAGTTCATCCTGTGGCGGTCAAAGATATTAACCAGTTGTGGCATAAGGACCTATCGATCCCGACGCAAGAAAGTACAGACTGGGGAGCAGTGTATCAACACAGAGAAAGCTCTTTGAAGTCCAAGACTGGGTCCCTCCGTGTCAACATTGGTACCGGAAGCAAAATCATACGTCAACAAGAGGACATACCCATGCAAAAGCCGCTCATCGAGGCATACACAAAGCCACGGTTTAGCGCGTTCCACCCCAATACCATGGACACTCCAGAAAGAAACGATGACGTTGCTGAAGTGGCTGGGCAGGCAAAGAGTGAGCTCGCATATCGGGCAGAAAGCGAGATATTTACCACTGAGGCAAAACCACGGAGCGACTTCTTTGTTGACTGGACAGCTTTGCAACCGCGACCAAGTCTTGTCGCAGAAAGTGAAGCTTTAATGCCACAGAAGTCCATCAGCAGACGGATGTCCAGAATCAAGTCTCGCCTATCGAGTTGCCAGTGGGGTTCTCCATTTGAACGCACCGAGGCAAACCGCTTGGAACCCCGTATCTTCGTTGACAGCCCGTCGACGAGAATTCTCAGAAATGACTCCTTGTTCCTGCCAGATTCGTCGGTTCCAGTCCTGGAAGCTGCGTCATTCTTGCATGGCTTGAGGAGGCCGGATCTCAAGGAAAGTGTGCATCATGTCACAACGATAATGGAGAAGCCTGGCACTAGTCACAACAGGGTGTCTGAAGCAATCGGAGGTCCTCATACTGTATGCGAATTTCCGAAGTCTCCTGTACCTAAAAAATTCAAGCCCTACAGTGAAGACCAGTCTTCTGAGTTTACGGATGACAGAAACAGCCTTCCAAGCAGAAATTATACAGACAGGAGAAACAGAGTGCAGCAGAGGCTGACTCAACTGACGCCAAGCGCACCATCTAATGTCTCGTTGGATTTTGCTTATGCCATGGTCGATTTCTCTGCGAGAGCATCAGCTGCATCAGGCCATCAAGAACTCTCTGCACGACGAGGATCTCTAGGAGCTTCCTCGTCTGCTTCGTCTTGGATCCCCGGTGATGATGACACCGACATGACTGTCGGCAAGGCCCACGCCGAAACACTTACACCTTTTGATAGAAATCAGATATCTGTGATTTCCGTCATGCCACGACCGCCTCCGAAGGCTCTGCTTCCACCCAAGCCAAAATTCGAAGAAGCGCCGCATACCAGCCCGATCAGACATGAGAAATCAGAAGCGCAGAGCAAGAATACGGTCAGTAGATTAGATCAACTGTTCCGTTCTGATAGCATCATCGGAGAGAGGCAGGCTACTCTCCGAAAGACTAGATAAACAGCACAATCAATCCAGTGAGTCGTCCCCTTACCTATTTTGAAATTTGATATTGTAACATTATTGAGTGCAAATGTTCTCCTGTGAGGTTCTGCGCAATGAAAAACAAGATTACCATGAATATATATTCCAAGGTAAGATTGAGCACGTCTTACTGTGTCAAATTGGCCACCGTGGGAAGAGACAATGGTACCAAGTCTCATTATGTATCTTATTGTGTATACGACAGAGTGATTTGGAGCGAATCTTACCAAATAGGTACCCAAGCTAAATCCACAGTAATATACCCCTCATTATCTGCATGTAGGTCCTTTCGATCACAGGATGCAAGATCTTGCTTGTCGAATATCAAGTCATTTGAAGTCACGTGATCAGTTGCATCTCGGTCTATCGGCGGTTTCGGCTTCAAAAAGGTATTAGCCTTTTCAGAGTCTCTGAGTTGGTCGCAGATGGTTGATACATCTGAACAGACGCAACAGATGCAGCAGTCCTGCTGGAGCCTAGAAACCCTCAATCACATAATTGTTGAAGGGTTTGAGTGGTATGAAAGGGCAGGTTTTCATACAAGACCACAGGAGGCTGTTGCTGGTGGTAGATCCTGTTAGAGCGCAGTCCTTTAAATTTGTTGAGTTCACTTCTTGACGCGCCGTTGAAAAAGCTGGAGATAATGAAGTGTCGTACAGCCACTTTTTCCATGCACAGATCAATATCTAGAATATCTGGTCTTGGTGGTAAGGGTATGCTCTTGGCTGTCATGAGGTTGTTAAAATGAAGGAAGATCTTAACAGCACCTAACAGCCTCAATCGGCTTTGGTGTTGATGAATTTTGAGAGAATATCCCGGCAGCGATGTGATTGGCGGAGAGGGCTAGCTCGGGATCCACCTTGCTCCTCTTGTCCCCGTCCCAAACCTCTCCGGCTCTGTCCTTCTTTTTTTGCTCTTCCTCTGCAGAATTCCATCATCACTCCCTCCCCCATATCTCCCCTCCAACAATTGCAATTCAATTGCAATTGATTTCCTTTCATTCTAGACAGAGTCATCTCTCTCTCTATCATGTTCCGGAACGCCCTCCGCCAGTCCAGCCGCGCCGTCGGCGCCATCTCTGCCACCGGCAGAGTCGCTGCAGTGAGTGCACCTCCACCCGGCCGAATCGATCTCAATTCCATCCAAAAGTCGCTGCGACCGCCCTGAATCGCCTCTCCGATCATCTTCAAAGCTCAATTGAGCTTCCTGGTCGTTTTTGGAGCGGGCGCTGGAGCTGTTGGAGCTCTCTTGGGCGGTTGCTAGGATGCTCGGTGGTTGAGGCTACAGTATTTTCGGTTTTTCGGCTAACTTGTTTCCACCTCAGGCTCGAAATGCCGCACCCGCAGCTTTCAACGCTGCCGCCATACAATCCCGCACCTACGCCGCCGACGCCAAGGCATCGCCGACTGAGGTTTCTTCCATTCTCGAGCAGCGAATTCGCGGTGTCCAGGAGGAGGCTGGTCTCGCCGAGACGGGCCGCGTTTTGTCTGTCGGGTATGTTATGCGGGAGCTACGGGACACCTGAGAAAGAACCTTCAAGACACCACAACATCCTCGCCAAATTCAGCACACACGACCTACACAGTTGCATCAATCAATTGGAACAGTCTGGCTGACTTGTGAAATTTTAGTGATGGTATCGCCCGTGTGCATGGTATGGCCAACGTCCAGGCCGAGGAACTCGTTGAGTATGTGTTTCCATCAATCGCGCCATCATTATCTCATTTAGCTAACATGTCTACAGGTTCGCGTCTGGCGTTAAGGGTATGTGCATGAACCTTGAGGCCGGCCAGGTCGGTGTTGTGCTGTTCGGTTCCGATCGTCTCGTCAAGGAGGGTGAGACCGTCAAGCGAACTGGCGAAATTGTAAGCGACTTGATCCAGACTGCCGCATCTCAATACTGATGACAACCAGGTGGATGTTCCTGTCGGCCCCGAGCTGCTCGGTCGTGTCGTCGATGCCCTGGGTAACCCCATTGACGGCAAGGGCCCTCTCAACACCAAGGAGAAGCGCCGTGCGCAGCTTAAGGCTCCCGGCATTCTGCCACGACGATCCGTCAACCAGCCAGTGCAGACTGGTCTCAAGTCCATCGACGCCATGGTGCCCATCGGCCGTGGTCAGCGTGAGCTGATCATTGGTGATCGTCAGACTGGCAAGACCGCTGTCGCTCTGGATGCTATGCTGAACCAGAAGCGCTGGAACAGCGGCAACGACGAGACCAAGAAGCTGTACTGCATCTACGTCGCCGTCGGTCAGAAGCGATCCACCGTTGCCCAGCTCGTCAAGACCCTTGAGGAGAACGACGCCATGAAGTACTCTATTGTCGTTGCCGCCACTGCCTCCGAAGCTGCTCCTCTCCAGTACATCGCTCCCTTCACTGGTGTAAGTAACTTCTGGAGTTTATTTTCAAAGGCAATTACTAACCCTGAACGTTCAGGCTTCGATTGGAGAGTACTTCCGTGATAATGGCAAGCACGCTCTGCTTATCTTTGACGATCTGTCCAAGCAGGCTGTTGCTTACCGTCAAATGTCTCTGCTGCTGCGTCGTCCCCCCGGTCGTGAGGCCTACCCCGGTGATGTCTTCTACCTGCACTCTCGTCTGCTCGAGCGTGCCGCCAAGATGAGCGACAAGCACGGTGGTGGTTCCCTGACTGCTCTGCCCATCATTGAGACCCAGGGTGGTGATGTGTCTGCCTACATTCCTACCAACGTCATTTCCATCACCGATGGCCAGATCTTCTTGGAGTCTGAACTCTTCTACAAGGGTGTCCGACCTGCCATCAACGTCGGTCTGTCTGTGTCTCGTGTCGGTTCCGCTGCCCAGCTTAAGGCCATGAAGCAAGTCGCCGGTTCGCTCAAGCTCTTCTTGGCCCAGTACCGTGAGGTCGCTGCCTTCGCTCAGTTCGGTTCCGATCTCGATGCTGCTACCAAGCAGACCCTGAACCGTGGTGAACGTGTAAGTTTCAATCAGAATGGATGAATTGAATTCGGACTTGTTGCTAATGTGGCGCTATCCCACAGTTGACCGAGCTTCTCAAGCAGAAGCAGTACTCCCCCATGGCTGTCAACGAGATGGTTCCTCTTATCTTCGCTGGTGTCAACGGTCACCTTGACACTGTCCCTGTCAGCAAGATCCTGCAGTGGGAGGCTGACTTCCTGGCCCACCTCAAGACCAACGAGTCCGACCTGATCGCCACCATTGAGAAGGAGGGTGCTCTTAGCAAGGAGCTCGAGGCTCGGTTGAAGGATGTCATCACCACCTTCACCAAGAGCTTCCTGGGTTAAATGCGCAAATACATACAACCTAGAGGGGGGGTAAAACCGGGGCAAGCTGGGGAAGAAAATGACTGTCTATATCTGTAGTTGGCTGTTCGTATTAGAGGGGGGAGCCCTTATTTCGTCGGGTGCTAGGGACTGAGGGCTGGAGGGTTGCAAGTAGGGCATTCTCCAACCATTGTAAAATAGAGCCACAAACTCAATCAAGCACTCGATTCCTTTTGTCTACAACTCTATAGCCCTGATTTGAATGTTTCGGATGCTTTTGTGTAGCGTACATTTACAAGTGATTGAGTTGGCTTGTTGGTGTCAACCACGAGCTTGACCGAGATCGGCTGGGAAAGCTCCATTCGACAGTGACATCATGAATACATGTTTGGTGAATTGTCACCTAATAAACCACACCTCGCTCTAAAATCTCATTTTACAGTGCGAACTTAGAACTCCTGAGACCACTTGTGAGCTGAAGATATATCCAGCTTCATTCGTATCAACTCAAGGCTCATCGGAACTTTGCTGCGCTTGCGGGACTGATCAGACCACATCGACGACCCCTCCATCTAACTGACATTCGACCTCATACATCAACCTCATCCATACTTCACACATCCTTCACAGTCTTGAAACGCTTCAGTTCCAGCGATGCCCTCAGGCTCGGCTGCACAGGCGCCAGAGATGTCAGCAGCCACGAAAGAGATGCTCGTCCGCGTGCGGCAGCTGGTGCCGCCGATGCTAGAAAAGTTTCACAAGGGTGCGTAGTCCGACGCTGTTGGTTCTCTCCCCGGACATGGCGGGAGAGATGTATTCCACGATTGATGCTTACGAAAGGACTTACACAGGGCAATTGGGTCGAGTCGGCGTCATAGGCGGCAGCGAGGACTACACAGGCGCGCCGTACTTCTCGGCGATGGCGAGCGCGAGGCTCGGTTGTGACATGGTACGTCTACGGTTTACAGCTACGTCTGCGGCTGCGCACTACGCAAACAAGACGACTTACTGATGCTCTTTGCTTGCTCGACATGTAGTCCCACGTCATCTGCACGCCCGCCGCCGCGAGCGTCATCAAGACCTACTCCCCGAACCTGATGGTGCACCCTCTGATGCGCCAGTCTCCGCCCTCGTCCGCGCACGACCTGCCCGCCGCCGACACGGACCCGGACCAGATCGCCCAGCGCATCATCGACATGCTCTCGCGGCTGCACGTCGTCGTCATCGGGCCCGGGCTGGGCCGCGACCCGCTGATGCAGGAGACGGTCGCGCGGGTGATCACGGCGGCGCGCAAGCGCGGGACGCCCGTCGTGCTGGACGCGGACGCGCTGGCGCTGGTGCAGAAGGACCCGGATCTGGTGAGGGGGTACGAGCTCGCGGTGCTGACGCCCAACGTCGTCGAGTTCGGGCGGCTGTGCTCGTCGCTCGGCATCGAGGAGGAGGTCAAGAAGGCGGCCGAGCAGGCGGGCGACGTGAGCGGGGAGGGCCGGGAGACGGCCAAGGTCGAGGCGCTGGCCAGGAAGCTGGACGGCGTGACGATCGTGCAGAAGGGAGGTAAAGACTACATATCGAATGGAAAGACGACGCTCAAGGTGGACATTGAGGGCGGGCTCAAGCGAAGCGGCGGCCAGGGTGATACCCTGACGGGCTCTATCGCGACGTTCCTCGGCTGGCGCAAGGCTTACCTGGACGGCCTCTGGGATACCAAGGGGAACCTCGACGAGAACGAGACTGTGGGCCTTGCGGCGTTTGGAGGCAGTGCGGTAACGAGGGTAAGTGTCGAAAGAGTTCCATGTTCATCTACCGCCAACATGCGATCTCGCCCCCTCCCCCTCTTTGTTCCTGGCCGCGGGCTCCGTTGACTTACAACGCTATAGGAGTGTTCACGACTAGCCTTCTACAAAAAAGGCCGCAGTCTACAGGCTAGCGATCTAACGGACGAGGTGCATACGGCGTTCCTCAACCTGTTTGGGGAGGAGGACCCAGATGCTAGCGGGAGCAAGCTATGAAGGTGATAGCCAGTTAGATCCCGTAGTCCTCACGGGGTTTTGGGGAGAACTTGATGACCTGCAGCTAGACAAACGGGCTTGTAAGGGTTGAACTAAAATGGAGTAACAAGTCAATGGGACACAGATCAAGACCTACGCAGATCTAGCAGTCGCGTCATGTAGCAGCATGTGGATAGCTGCCACGTATGCAAGGCCGAGCGAGGCTGCTAGAGCCGTCCGTTAGACTACGGAAGATAGATTGGGACATAAAAACGGCTCTATCACAAACATGGCACGCAAGGGCGAAAGGTATTGGCTAGCTAGCTTGATGTGAAGCGGGTGTAACGGTTGCTTGCACAAGTTACTCCGGGGACAAGTGCTAGGTCCCGACAGTCATACGAAAAGAGCCATGATCTAATGCTGGTGCAGCTGAGATAAGGTGATATATAGTGATATCCAACCCGATTTGCAGGACTGGTGGTCGCACGGCCATTTCAGCTGAGCGACGTTGCCTCGACCATTTTTGCTTCTATGGCCGGCCAAAACACCCAATTGGGGGGCGGTGCCATGTCTAATTATACATGACCGTCTCAGCTGACGAGAACGTCGTCCAGAAGCATATTGTCCGTGCCATCATGCCCCTGGCGATCGCTCCCAGCTCAACGGAAAGGAGGGCTTCGCAGAAGTTTCCGAGGGACAAGATAGTACCACAAGATCTCTCTCGTGTCAGCGGAGACGATTATGCCGCCGAGACAAAAAAGCAACAAGGGAGATGTGCTCGGCTGATTTCGAGAAAGTTGATGCTATATCGAGGTCCAATGGTCCTCCTGAAAAGAGGGAGAAGTGATAGCTTTTGTAGATCATTTCCTTGAGAGGCAGCAGAGAGGAGAAGTATCAGTGGAGAATGGCACCGCTTGAGGCTAGGGATGTAAAGCTGGGACGGACCCTTACGCGGCTGTCGGGTTGTGGCCCTGACCACGGACAATCCAATGAGCGTGGGTGGTGTTCTGTGAGAACGCATCCATGGTCTCCGACAAAGACGCCTTAGATCAAACTATACTATGATACAATGAGCGCTAGCTCAGCTACATGAAGGCTGTAGCATTGGAATCAGGAGCGTCGTTGACCAAGCAATGAGTACCGAATAGCAGCAGCGCTTTTGAAAGACAGTGGTTTGCCGTCGGGTAGCTGACGACAGGCTGTCAAGACAGCCTGTCGAGTCGAGATCAAATACTGTGCCTAGATTGTACTCCTCCGCCG